AAAGACAATATGATAAACTAAAACTTGTAATGATAAAGCCGTGGAGGCCACGCTTTTCTTAATCTTGTTCTTTAACACCTCAAATGTCAGAGGTTTGTGACTTTGGCCTCCTCTACCCCACTGAAAACCTGAATTTAAAATAAAGTTTTTTTATTTTACTTGAGCCAAAACAGTTAAAGACAACCATGCATAAAGACCTGGTTACCTTTTCTGGTATCAGATGAAAAACACACAGCAGAGAGGAAGAGAAGATTCAGGACGTTATTTTAGACTTGCTGAGATTGAGCCAATAAAACTTCTTGTGAGATCTACTGTTAAGTCAAAGCACAGAGAGGAAAACATGCTACTCACAAAGGGAGATATAACACAGCGACCTTCATCCTTCCTCGCTGCTGACTGACACACGTCTGACTGATGCTGCCTTCAAATGGAACTTGTGAGTTTGTGGTGACATGTGTGGTCATGTTCACGGAACTTTTCAGGGGGTGTGTTGACGGTAAACATGACCCCATTTCAAGGCAGCATAATGGTCTGCTCACCACTTCCTCGGTGTAGATGTGTCATTGTTGAGGCATGGGTCAAAAAACCAACGCTAGGAGCTAAAAGAGGTTATAGGGAGGGATGGGCAGTTCTGTCACTATTGGTGAAAGATGTTGAGCTTGATCGCGTGAAACTATGTTTGAGGAGGGCATCTGCACAGTATGTGATTATCAGTCTCATGTAATACTGTCAGTAAAACAATTTCAGCAAAAAGTATAAAAAATATTATTTAACAACATTATTATTTTATTAGTATAGGTTTATGTCTATCGTTGTCCTGGTATGTATAAAAATATTTGGTAATAAAGGTGTTTCTGATTCTGATTCCGAACCTTTACTCAAGCTTTCAGCCTGATATACATTTATACGGCGCAGCACTGTGCAATTTTGAATAAGTCAAAACAGATAATAGCTGTGTTTCTAACACAGAGTAAGAGTTCATCTTAAAAGATTGCCTACACAGTTTGGGAGGGTTTGTATCTGGGCATGCCAGGACTTCTGCTTGACATGCAGAATTTTGTATCTTTGGGAACTATGTGACCCTAAAATGTGAATTTAACACATGGGAACATCTCACACGGTAGGCCTAGTGAACATCACTTGAACATTTAGATTTATTTCATGGTTTTTCATGGTTGCTCTCACATCCTTCATACTGGTCACTGGAAGTTTAATGTGGCACCTCATGGCAAAGAACTCTCTGAGGATCTGAAAAATATAATTGTTGCTCTACATAAAGATGACCTAGAATATAAGAAGATTACCAAGACCCTGAAACTGAGCTGCAGCATGGAGGCCAAGACCAAACAGTGGTTCAACAGGACAGGATCCACTCAGAACAGGCCTCGCCATTGTTGACCAAAGAAGTTGAGTGCTTGTGCTCAGCGTCATATCCAGAGGTTGTCTTTGGGAAATAGACGTATGAGTCCTGCCAGCATTGCTGCAGAGGTTGAAGGGGTGGGAGGGCCAGCCTGTCAGTGCTCAGACCATACGCTGCACACTGCATCAAATTGGTCTGCATAGCTATCGTCCGGAAGGAAGCCTCTTCTAAAGAGGATGCAAAAGAAAGCCTACAAACAGTTTAGGGACATGGATTACTGGAACAATGTCCTGTGGTCTGATGAGACCAAGCTAAACTTATTTGGTTTAGATGGTGTTAAAAAAAGTGTCTTAAAGAAAGGGCAGGAAACCCTAAACTGCCCCCCAAACATGTAACCGTGGCAACTGACCTTCCTCTGCGTTTGATTACCTCACATCAAAGGAGATACTCCCTTTCACAGCCAGATGCAAATTGGAGAAACTCCAGGACACCAGGGACAGCCTGAACTTCTTTGTGTAAACAAAGACTTCAGTCTCCCAAGACTCAAAGCATTACCTTGTTTAATTAAATAATCTTTTAGTTACTTGATTACATTTGCCTCTATTTGAGTAGTTATGTTACCATGTTGTTGCTATCTGTTGTTGATATTATTGCTGAAAAGAATCTAAATAAGTTACTTTTGCAGTGTTTTAATTTTCAGCAAGGTTAATGACATTCCTTCATTTTATGTGTAACCAATGTGTTCACAATACTTTCTCACACAATTCCTTTAGAAAGGATATGATAAAGAAATGTCATCCTATACTCTATATTTTCCAGCTCAAAATTAAGGTTAAAATAACTGAATTCCCAGCTCCTGAGCAAAGATTGTTTTAGGATTAATCAGAGCTATCCTCATGTAACCCGAGCTCCTCCAAGTGGACAAAATAAGTATTACAGGCCATCGTCTGAAATGCCATTATGTACAAATGTCACTCCGTATTTATCTTGTCAATAATCTAATGCCATTCGTGTAGCTTATATTCTCTAAGAACGTGTAAAAGCCAATAGCCTATATTTAGAAAGCAACTCAAGTTCCTCTCATCTGTGATTCCTATGAAGTGCTAAACTTGTCAGGTCTAACTACTGAAAATTGTTCTTCCTGTTATCAAATGCTTAAACGTAGAACGGTACAACCCTTTGACAACTAAGGTTTGTAGATGTGGGATAGGATTAATAAATTATGTCTTGTTGTTGTTGTTGAAATCTGAATTAAGTGATTATAATTATGATCTATGCTTTGAAAAACTACATTCAGTGTTGTCATTTGGAAGCTGTGAAGATTTTTCGTTGAGTTTAATTAACATTAATTTACGAGTGCTCGCCACCTGTCTACAATGCTGTGCTATAAAGTTGAAACCAAAGAAGTCGCAGGGGCTACAGTACATGTTGTACGAACAAGCTTCCGATGTTGCCCACAGTCAAAGACCAAAGACAATATGATAAACTAAAAACTTGTAATGATAAAGCTGTAGAGGCCAAAGCTCTTTCTTAATCTCTTATTCTTAACACCTCAAATGTCAAAGGTTGTGACTTTGGCCTCCTCTACCCCACTGAAAACCTGAATTAAAAATAAAGTTTTTTTTATTTACTGAGCCTTTAAAAACTAGTTAAAGACAACCATGCATAAAGACCTGGTTACCTTTCCTGGTGTCAGATGAGGCACGAGTATGAAACACACCTGAAAAACACACCGCAGAGGGAGAGGAGAAGATTCAGGACGGTGCTTTATACTTGCTGAGTTTGAGCCAATAAAACTTCTTGTGAGATCTACTGTTAAGTCAAAGCACAGAGAGGAAAACATGCTACTCACAAAGGCTGAGAAATAACACAGCGACCTTCATCCTCCTCACTGCTGACTGACACACGTCTGACTGATGCTGCCTTCAAATGGAACTTGTGAGTTTGTGGTTATGACGTGTGATCGTGTTCACAGAACTTCAAGAAGATTTCCACTTACAAGAATGTGAGTACCACAAGAGGGGGACGTTCATATGGACTCTTCTGCCCATTTGAAGGCAGCATAGTGGTCTGTTGTGCCACTTCCTTGGTGTAGGTGAGAATTTGAGGCATTTGTTATACAAGCTATTATTATTTCTGGGTCACTGTTATCTTTACAGGCGATGTAGCACAGTCCATAAAGCTGCCTGCCATGACATTATTAAGCCATTAGTATGGATCAATAAATAATTTGTTTACTTTGGCTTATTTAAACATCCAGCAGCCCCTTAATGGTTCGTATGGATCGTGTTTGTTCCACCTGATGAATGAAAGTCAAATTTTCTCCTATGTTCCTATGTTCACCAGCTAGTCATGAGAAAGTAGTGTACTGTTGGTTTATCAGAGTTTAACTTTATTTATGAGAACAGCTGCCTGCTGCTGTGACTTTAGGAACTTTATGATCCTCAAATGTGAATTTAACACATGTGGAGCACCATCTCACATATGCTGCCGGACATCACCTGATCTAACACAAGATGTGATTTGTGATTTTAACTGGTCTCCACCAGTCTGCTTGTGGTTACCACAGTGTTTTACAGTGAAAGTACTAGAGAAGTATCTTTCATAGTCAGGACCGAACAGGTTCTGGCTTTTTTCTCACTAAGAATTTACAGCCCAAAGGCTCCTGTGCAAAATCCCTACTTGGTTTATTTTCTAGCATTCATGTAAAGTCTGGGCTGCAGGTTTAAAACATCATTCATCATTCCAGCTACTGTAGTTTAGGTTGTTCAGCCAGTTTTCAACACTAGAGGGAGGCACACAACAGGACAAAGTTTCTTTTTTAAAAGATGTGACTTGAGGAAAATGAGTGGTGGAGAGAGGCAAACAAATAAATAAACTTTTCTAAGCAACATCTGAATATAGAATATATTCTAGATAAGCAAAACATTAGTGTGAACTGACAACTTTTCTGTTTTTTCAGGCTCATGGTTAGTAATTTTGTATGTGTGATCAGAGGGCTGTATATATTGCCAGACATCATAGACTAGTTGATTCATTCAACATTTCTGTGGGATGGCTGTGCAGTTTTACTTTTGGATGATGAGTGGTTGTTAATGTTTGTACTATGTTATTTATTATAATTTTATATCACTTGTTGCTGTGTGCACTTTACAGCAATACTGGGTCAACCTGTAATCAAATGTGCTATGTAAATACAGTTGTCAGGGTTCAGTCAGTGTGCCAGTTTCCTGTCTTAATTTTCCGTGTGGGTACTCATGTCTTGCTCTGTTTCCTGTCTTCTGTATTCTTAATGGGTCTCACCTGCTGTCATTTACCTACCTGCTTGTGTGTGCGTTTGTCAGTATATATTGTCCGGTTGTTCACTGTAGTCTTTGTCAGTCCGTCGTGTGACGTCTGTGACCTGTATGTCTGCCTGAACCCCCGCCGTTTGTTTATGATCCATGAGTTTTTGGATATATGTTTTTCACGTGCCTGTCATCCAGAGTTGCATTTTATTGCAACCTTCAGTTGTAAAGTTTGTAATTTTCACATAATAATGTAATAATATGTAATAATCTTTATTTATAGAATACTTTTCAAAACAATGTTACAAAGTGCTTTCACAAGAGCAAACTAAATAAAACATAGCAAACAAAATAACATACAAGGTAACAGCAGGAAGAAAGTTATGAATTTAAACTTACAGTTAAAAGAAAAATAGAAAAATAAAATAAACTAAAATAACCAGTAAAGTAATACTGCTAATACACTGGTATACACTTCCTGCTGTGTTTGAAACAACAGTATGTCGTATTCTTATCTTAAAATAACATCTTCAAGCTCATTTTGATGCTACACTGACTTGTAATAGGGTGATAGAGTCTCTCTCATTGCCACTCCTACTCCAGATATCGTGCCATGTAACTTTGAAAACCTGGGCAGAACATTTATCATAACAACAGTGTAATGGTATACGGCACCAAGACGACTCTTTGGCTACAAGCTATAAGAAGGAGTAAAAAGTATATAATAACCAATGTAAGTTATTTGGATCAAGCTAGCTCTGCAAGTGACCGGACAAGAGTAGCTTAAATATATTACAGGTTTTTACACGGTGGAGTGAGCTAAAAGAGCTAAAAAGATGCAGTAGAGAAGCCGAGCTGGCTTTTTTTCTGTTGGACAGTAAAAACTTATTAGCTGGCTTGCTATGTTGTGTGTTTTTGCACTTTTTTTTTGTTTTGAAGTTAGCAAAGTTGTTGATACGAGCAAAATCAGCCAGAGATTTCAGATAAATATAGACTTGACGTTAGCAAAGTTACTAGATAACACACTCGGACATCGGTAACATTACTGTAAGTGCTCTTGTGTCGGTTGCTGGCTAGCTTACAAGTTTCAAGCGACATTATGCTGCTGCCAGTAGACAGCGGTGCTTGTGTCGAACCAGGGTTGAGCTGGCAACATAACTGGGCTCTGCAGCCTCTATGGACATAACATTAGCTAATGGCAGAGGCAAACAGACAGAAAAGGACATTGACAGAGGAAGCTAAGAAGAGTTAAAGAGAGTGACCAAGGCAAGAAGCTCCCGGACGTTAGTGGGAGACAGAGACCGAGCTGGCCCTTTTTCTGTGTACACAGTTAGACTAGTTACTAATATTGCTGTCTTTTGTTGTTGCCATTGCTGATGTTTGACTGTGTTACCAAAGCTGGCAACTTGCTAGTTTTTGATAGCAATGTAATCATTACAAATGCACATGTGCAGCTGTCCTTATTTACGGTTTATTTATCAGCGGTAAACTATGAAAGGTCGGGGCGCCAAATCATATTAAAAAACCATCTCATATAATTTTGCTTTTAGTGTTCTGCAATTGGGTCCAAAACTTGTTTTCTGCCCCGGGCACTCAGCATCCCTCCTGCCTTGCCTGCCACTCATTTTGTCTCAGGGAACTAACTTCCATGAAAAAACCTTTGTTCTTTTATGAGCACCAAATGAAAAAGATGCATGTTAAAAAGTACAGACACATAACAACATTATAATATACAAAATCTGTGGTCTTGTAATCTATTCCACCTCCATGACGACATGATGGCCTCTGTCCTCTGCAATCACCTGAAGTGCTACTAGAAGAAGAAACACGGAGCAGTAGAAGAATGAACAAAACAGAAACTACAGCCACCCAAACAAAATCAGCAGAGTTCGTTCTCACCTCTTCTGTTGTCTCTGTATATGAGTCCCAGTACGATGGTGGACAGCAGGTAAGGAGTCCCTACAACTACATGATGAATCAGTCTGCAGACACGCATTACAGGAGCTGCTGGCTCAGACACTGCAGGGACATTAAAAACTAATCAAATGACATACATACCTGTGTCCATGAAATTAAATGAAATCAATCCAAGAGGCTGCTGCCATTGTTAGCAATAGTATAAAAGTAAAGCTCATTATGCCAGCTGATTTTTACCAACACATTCTGACTCTGATCTTGTCACGTGTGGAAACTTGGTCAAGAAACCTTGGTGTCACTTTTTAATGCCCTGTGTACCCTTTTAGCATTATTTTTCGACATGTAGGGCTCCGTGTCAAGTTAGAAATAATACGTATGCAATGTTCAGTTGTTAATGTCATGTAACATCTTTGGTTAGGTTTAGGAAAACATCGCAGTTTGGTTTAAAATACTGTTACTTTCTTCCCTTAGAGTTGTGTTAGTTGAGTATTGACTTTTTGTTTCACACAGGAAACAAACTTATGGGTAATAGTTCAGTTTCTGACCGATCCAACCACCTCCATACTCACAAGTGCCCGGCTGAGCGCCACTACGTTGGAGTTGGACGAGAGGTTTGCCTTCCTACACCTACTGATTGGGGGGGACTATTCAATATGCATATACACATGTGAACTGGACACTTTTGGTAGAGGCCCCTGTCTGGGAGATCTTCAACACATCTCCAGCTAAGCTTTTCTGGCATTTCTTTGGAGGTTGGGGGCATTGAACCTGAGTGGGCAATGTTCAAAGCTTCTATTGATGAAGCTGCAGCGAGGAGCTGTAGTCTCTAGGTAAGACCATGAGCCCACAGCTTCCTCAAAGGGCATTAACCCTCAAACATCGTGGTTGACAACGATGGTCAGGGAAACTGTCCGAATGAAAGAGGAGTCCGGAGGTGGTTGCAAGGCACCAATGGACCCAAAGGGCTGCAGCCTCTGCTGTGAAAGAGGTAAAACAGCTCATGTGGGAGAGGTTCGGAGAAGCCATGGAGAAGGACTTTCGGTTTGCACCAAGTGCTACTGGAAAACCTCAGGAGGGGGAAACGCGGAACTATCCAAGCTGTTTACAGTAAGGGTGGGACTTTTTTGAACTCTCCTGAGGGAGTAATTGGGCGATGGAAGGAACACTTGGAAGGAATCCCACTTACACACCCTCTTGGTAGAGGCAGAGCTGGAGGCTGATAATTTCTCTGGTGGAAGTCACTGCGAAGTCGCTGCTCCATTGTTTCAAAAGTATCTAGTTAAGGTGGTTTGGGCATGTGGGAAGGATGGACCCTGGGCTCCTCCCTTGGGAGGTGTTCCCTGGCATGTCGAGCTGGGGCGAGGCCATGGGGAAGACCCAAGACTAGGTTGAGAGATTAAATTTCCACAATAGGAATAGGTCTGGGAAATTCCTCAGGATTCCCCCGTCAGAGCTGGTTAATGTGACTTGGGAAATGGAGGTTTGGGGTCTTCTGCTGATGCTGCTGCTCCTTCATCCTGACCCCAGATAATTGGTTGAAGATGGATGGATGGAAGGCAAGCCTATTTATCGGCTCTATACTATATACTAAATTAAGGTTAATTTAAATGTTCAGTTGTAGATGACCCAACCCAACTGTGCCCCCAAATCAGAAAATAGTCAGCAAGCTAAGCCAAGGTGATATAATTTGTTTTAATATTGTGCATGTTTTGCTGCACATTACACCCCCTGAAATAACTTTTCAATTTATGGGCCTCAGTTGGAAAATAAAGCAGTTTGTTATTAGCAGATGAAACTTATTATCTCACCTCTGACAGTCAGCCAGCTGTCTGGTGATTCATCTCCAGAGACTTTGCACGTGTAGAATCCTTCATCAGATTCGGAGACACTGTGGATGGTCATGTTTCCTGTAGAGCTGCTCCTGATGAGAAGTCCATCTTTATAGAAATCAGCTGTGAGACTGGAGGGATGTATCTTGTTTCTGCAGCTCAGAGTCACATCGTCACCCTCCATCACAGGAAGGACAGGAATCTCCAGGATCACAAAGCCACCTCAGGGACAGACAGAAACAAGGAAGGACGTTTTAAGCTCACAAAGCTTTAAGGAGTCTACACATGATCATTTATAACATTGTTTTTTTGCCAGTATGAGGCATTGTTTGACTCCGATCATTTGATACAGCACACACTGTGGGACATACAAACAGAAGAAATAGTAAAGGTAGAGTGTGGTATCCATAAAATAATTTGACAACTCAAGTCAAAACATTATGTGGCCTCATAACAACATCATGCTCTGTCTACCTTTGCTACTGAGAGAGGACAGTCTGTTTCACCACAAGAAGTTTTTTTGTCATCGAACATATGCTGCGGTTTTTTATTTCCTTCTTAAACTAGATGCCCCCAACCTGCTTTTGAGAATTAGAAACAGTAAGCCTACGTAGTTATGGAGGCCAGCAACCATTTTGTGTCATATGGAGGTAAATGTTTAAACCCACTGGTCACTGTGATGCTGACGGCTTCACTGCGCTCTCCTGCTGCAAACTCACACCAGTACACTCCAGTGTCTGATGGGTAAAGGTCAGCGATGAAGCAGTGGGATTCATATTTTCTTCCACAGAATTTGAAACACTCTTCATTTGTGTCTTTGGATGTGTTCCTCTTAACGCTCCACTCAGAAGAGATTACCTGCTGCCCACAGCTCAGAGAGACAGACTCGTACTGAAAGAACTGGGATCTGTTGGGAAGGACGCTCAGAGCGGCTGCAAGAAACAGACACATGATGCCAAAGTGAGACTTTTATATGCTACTTAAGCAAACAGAAGACTTTGTAGACGTGAACAAACAGGAGCACTTGCCTGATGTGCGGATGCTCAGCAAGCTTGTCACCTTCTTTACAATTTATTAAATAATGTTATTATAAACAGGTTGCCCCTTCAATAATAATTCAAGTGTGTTTCGGTCATGGACAAAGTATTCAGATCCTTTACTTAAGCAAAAGTACTAATTCCACACTGTAAAAATACTCTGTTACAAGTAAAAGTCCTGTAAAAGTAAAAGTATGTAAGTATACCAGGAAAATGTACTGAAAGAAAATGTACTGAAAGTATTAAACGTAAAAGTATTGCAGAAACAAAAAGCAGGATTTTACTGCTGTAATTGTTGAGGTGGAGCTCATTTTTAGCTAACTATACTGATTATTTTCATTATGGATTAATTGTCAGGGTTTACGCCAAGTGCAGACAGGAACATGGCCCAAATGCAAGACACAGAGCCGGCAGAATGAGTACTGAAACAAAAACGTAACAAGTGTGGCAGAGTCAAGGTAACCAAAAAGTAATATCCAGAAACAGAAAATCCAAACGCTGAGACGAAAAATAAATCCCAGGGTTCAGAACGGAAACAATAATCAAAACTTCAGCGGGCTGAAGTGAGGCACAGACACAGCCAACAAAAGATCCGACAGAGTTACAGACAACATAACGCATGACAATACAACAGCAAACGAGCGGGGCAGGAAAGCAGAACAGGTGTAAGACATCAAGGTAATGAAACAGAACGGGAATCAAAACTAGTCACAGACAACTACAAAACAAAACAGGAAACAAAGCACGACACTGAAACACAGTGAGTAAATCGACATAGCATTCAGACAAAAATTTTACTTGATACAGACAGGCAGTGAACGTAGGGGGCTACTACTATTAAAATACCGAAATAGATGAAGACATGGACAAGACATACCGACAAGAAGACAAACGACAACTGACCAGGATGAAGGAAACAGAAAACAGAATAGATGTAAAATCTAAACAGGAAACAACAAAGTATTAAACAGATCTAAGAACTAAGACACAGAACGAAAACAGAGAAGCTGTTTGAATGAACTAAGACACAGGACGAAGAACTGAGGGAAAGAAACAGAAATGGTGATAATGGAAATAAGCTGAACATGAAAATAGACATAAGAATAAACAAAACTAAACAGGGGAAAAGGCATTGAAAAAGAAAATAAGACAAGAAAACCCAAAACCATGACATTAATCTGCTGATTATTTTCTACATTAATCGATTTTCGTAATTCTGAAAATAGTGCCGTCATAGTTACCCAGAGCCTGAAATGACACCTTCACAATGCTTCTTTTGTCTAACCAACAGTACAAAGCTCAACAATATTACAAATAAAAATAAATATAATTAACAGGAAAAGAAGCACATTTGTGAAAGTGGAACCACGAAGACCAGACATATAAGAAGCTGCCGTGAGAGCTAAACCATAATAATAGAAACTAAAACAAGATAAAGCTGCATCTCACAGAGTCACTCATGTCACTCTCTACTTTGAAGGATATAGAAGCCACAGTTTCCTGCTGCGGCCTCTTCTTAAACAACTCAATGTCAAAGGTTTGTGACTCTGGCTTCCTTTTACTGTCCTTTATTATAGTTCTTTATTTTAGTAGAGCATACAAAATCACACAAAAACTACCGTATGTAACGAGCTGGTTACCTTCTTCTCTGGTATCAGATGAGGTACGTGAATGAAACACACCTGAAAAAAAACACACAGCAGAGAGAGAAGAGAAGATTCAGGACATTTCTTTTTATCTGATGAGTTTTAACCAATAAAACTTCCTTTGAGATCTACTGTTAAGTCAAAGCACAGAGAGGAAAACATGCTACTTACAAAGGCTGAGACAGAACACAGCGACCTTCATCCTTTCCTGCTGCTGCTGACACACGCCTCACTTGTACATGGTCTGCTCGCCACTTCCTCTGTGTAGATGTGAAACGTTCAGGCATGCGTTCCACAAGCTATTGTTATTTCTGGGTCATCGTAAATCACTTTACAACAAACAGGGTGGTCTAGGCAGCTTCCTGGCATGACGTTGTTGAGCCATCAGTATCAATCGCATATTTCGCATATTTAACATTGTATATTTTACTCTGAACTACAATTTAGTGCAAAATAGCAAATGTTAGCATTCTACATTTGCTAACTGCTTTCAAAATATAGTAAATATATTGCATTTCAGTTTGTTAAAATAATGTTTAAGTCCATTTATACAGTCTATGGTCTGTTATCGAAATGTTTTTTTTCCTGCCACATGTTAAGTTTTCTCTGTAAAAGATTGTTAAGCAAGTGAATGATAACCTGGAATTCACCTTTTACTCATCCTGCTGACTGGCTTTTTTTCAGTTATAAGTGTACAGAAACAAACAAGTCAGCCGTGCATATCATCGGATGCCATCTTCTCTCTGTGCAAGGCATTGACCTCATGCGTTGCTTTAGAAAAGCATGAAGCATCATAAAAGACCACAATGGTCTGTTCACAATGCGGCCTTCTGGTAGAGCGTTACCAGAACATCAGGTCACGCTCTACCAGACTCACTCTCACACTTGCAATGAACAAATTAAACAAAAGCAAGTGAAATAGCTAAACACAAAAAATGCATCAAGTTGTTCCCAAATTCACCTGAAAATGCAACTTGTAATGACTTCTCCAGTCTCAAAATTATAATAGAATCCTTCTCAACAGCACAAATATGCTAAACAGGTGTTGATGCAACGAATAACAGGCTTTATTAGTTGCACCAGGGGTGCTTGAGCTGGAACACACGAAATACCTGAACTAGGGGTTTGTTGAGTGTCGTGTTGGACTGCGTGTTAGAAATATGGTCAAAAGAATGGTCAAAAAAGTTAAGAGATCATCGCCCTTCACAAACAAGGAACAGGATACCAAAAGATAGTGAAGGCGCTGAATGTTCCTAGAGACACCGTTGGAAGCATAGTTTGCAAGTTCAGAGTACACTACCTGGACATTGCAGAAAAGGAAACAATGGCTGCAACTAGATCATATGAGTCACTGCAAAAAACCTGCAGCAAGACTTGGTGGCAACAGCAGTATGTCCGGAGGAAGAATGAAGCACTGATAAGAACACAGTTAAGCGTGGTGGTGGCACAGCGATGCTTTCTGATGCCATGTTATTAGGTGTATATGACAAATAAAATTACTTTGACGTTATACATAACTTTTTAACATGTCTATTCTAATTTTAAATATTTGTTCTGCGTGAAATGTGAACAGAGCTACAACTTTCATTTATTTGTGCAGCCCAGTGTTGTAGAATGACAAATAAAGAAGTACTTGTATCTTAAACAAACCTGAGAAAAAATGGGTTTCTGCCAAAACAGTCCTGGTCCGATGTGATATCTGGCACCAAGTCATTAGCAGCAGATCCTTTAAGTCCTGTAAGTTGTAAAGTGGGGCCTCCATGGATCAAACTTGTTTGTCCAGCACACCCCACAGATGCGGAAATCTGGGAAATTTGGAGGACAAAGGTCAAAAATACCTTGAACTTGTTGTGTTCCTTAAACCATTCCTGAACCATTTTTGCTTTCCATGTTTTCCATGAAAGGGAGTACATGGTCCCCAACCATGCTTAGGTATAGGTGGTAAAACTAACATCCACATAAACCAAGGTCTCCCAGCAGAACATTGCCCAAAGCTTCACACCGCCTCCACCGGCTTGCCTTCTTCCCATAATAATATTGGCACAAGGTTTTGTAGTGAGAGGTATGTTGTTCTCACAACTGATCTCTACAGAAGAATTAGTGAGTTTTTCAATGTTTTCAATTTAGCGAAGACACCGGAGATTAGCGTGTAGTTTGTGACATTTATTGAAGAATCACAGATCAAAGAAAGTCCAAGGGCTGTAGTGCAACACGTAAATCCACAACAGGAATAAACTCGACACGATGATGATACGACAGAGAATGAACAGTACTGACAAACATTTATACTCTCGTAAACGACCTGTGCGGGAGAGCAAACAGGTAGAACACACAAGGCAATCAAGACTGGGAACACAAGCAGGCAGAATGAAGCTGACACAGATGGGTAATCAGTCAGACAGGATGCCGGGCATGAACTAACACCAGGGGCGAGTTCAGCACTGACAAAACGTAGCAAAACGTGTTTTTTTTGACGGAAACAGGGTGCCTTGAACACCCATTTCCACACATGCATTTCCCTGCCTTTTTAACACCGTTGTGTTTACAAACTTGTCACAGCTGACTGGGTAACACCTGAGACACGCCCACCAAAAAGAAGAAAACATACCTCGAAGCCCGTTGCACAACGTTATAAGGAAACATGTCGTTCAATCCGAAAACGCGGCAAACTGGTGCAAAACGTTTTCAGATTGAACTGACAAGACATACCTAAACAGAAACAAACAGGACTAAAACACTAAACACAGAACAGACCAAGCTGACTAAATAACTGACAACACAGACAGACTCCAAATATGACAGAGAAACAGACTAAAACAAGGATCAAGACACAGAAACACAAAGCAGACAAGACCAAATCATGACAGCATGTGTCATCACCACCCCTTCTGCTGTCTTTTTTGTCCATCATGTGTTGCTTTGAGGTAAAATAGCTGTCATCTCTGGCTGCCACTGAAAGAGTTGAAAATGACTGATGGGAATTTGAGAAAAAAAGGAAAAAAAAGTCTTTCTCTTAAAAACTAAGTCTCAAAGTGATCCTGCCACTGATGATGGGTTGAGAGAAGCGGGTACTTCCATGTCTGAAAAGTGAAGCCAATAATGTGAAAGTGCCTTAAGGCTGCATTCTTTCTAACGGACTCCACTGGTTGCTAAAAAGTTGTATCGTAAAAATTTTTATCTCACCACATTTAATACCTCAGTAAACACTTTCCTAATGCGTTTATGGTCTCTGTCGCCAGTTTCAAGTCTTCTTCAAAACAGCATGATGTTCATTTTCCTTCTGATGGTAATCTGTGTCCATCATGAAGAGCTCCCTCCTGCTGATCCACTTGTGGCTGGAGGTGATGCTGGTCTGAATCCCTGAACTGATGAGGAAGATCCAAGAGAGGGAGAAGTGCAGAACGCTCTCGTCTCCATTAACATGAAATACTGGAGGTGGGACCGAGTCAAGTCTCAAGTCTTAGCACTCAAGTCCCAAGTCGAGTCCCAAGTCCAGACCGATCATGACTGGCAAGTCCGAGTCAAGTCTCAAGTCAAGGACCAACAAGTCCAAGTCTTAAAATTGAGTTTCGAGTCCTAAACAAGTCATATTGTGGTCTTCACCAAATGTAAAACCATTTCAAAAGTTTTTATATGTTAAAATAAAAAGAAATGTATTGAATGAAGCATTAACCTGTACAGAAAGAAGTTAGAGGCGCAGTTTCACACAACAAATGTTCTATAATTTCATGAATTAAATTAAATGTTCATGTAGGGCTGCTAATTATTTTGGTCAATATTGAGATCACAGTTATTTAACAGGATTACTCATTGCCTTAGGAAACAAACTACTGAACTTCTAAAATGTAATGCGTTATTTTTAAAAACTATTATATGCATTACTCTAAAATCTCATATAGCCCATGAAATAAGAAACAATAATCCAACATTATTAACTTTAAGCAGCATCTAGAGTGCAAGAGGACGACAGCAGCACAGATTCCCCCAAGTTGACAGATTTGGGTGACGGATGGGTCACTGAGGGGGCTGTGTGTGTGTGTGTGTGTGTGTGTGTGTGTGTGTGTGTGTGTGTCTGTGTGTGTGTGTGTGTGTGTGTGTGTGTGTGTGTGTGTGTGTGTGTGTGTGTGTGTGTGTCTGTGTGTGTGTGTGTGTGTGTGTGTGTGTGTGTGTGGAGAGGTTCGCTATTATCGTTTTATATTAATTAACTTTTTTCTCTCTACACTGTTTCAACCTGGCCTTTCTTTTCTCCGTGAGATGGAGGAATTTAGAAAGTTGTGTGGCGCTGCGTCAGGGCCCTAGCTGTTGACCATGAATTATGCGTAAAATTCATCCAGCCAGAGGGAACGATCACGAACGGTTCACAGCGCGCCGGTAGTAGCCCTGCTACACAACCCATTGTAGGTACCGGAGAGGGACTGGGTCGCTGGGGCGTACAGGGCCAGGGACAGGAGATCGCGGAGCTTCGGACGGTCGGTAATTGTTCCCTCTTGCTGGAGGAAGCCACACGCTCCAGTCTAATTGAGCACCGCGCTATGTTGATGCGCTGCGCAAGTTAATATCATAATTTATATTCGGGCATGGGGAGTGTCAAGTCAGCTCAAGTCAAAAGGCTCAAGTCCAAGTGAAGTCACGAGTCATTGGTGTTAAAGTCAAAGTCGCAAGTCATCTTTGATTTTGTCAAGTCGAGTCTAAAGTCATAATTTTTGTGACTCGAGTCCACACCTCTGTCAAATACCAACGAGCTCTTTAGGAAGACACTTTGGCTGGAAGTGGCTCGTCTGGAGTGACATCATACTGGTAATAGTTGTTTGCTTTCCTTCTCCATCACATTTACTTTGTGAAACTTCTGTTTAAACACACATCCAGCACCAACTCCAACACCCAGGGCAAGTAAGATGCAGAAAGCCACAGCTGGGATCCAAAATCCCAGATGGGATCGACCACCTGATGTGAAAAAAGTCAAACAGAGAAAAAAGTTACAGTAACTGAAATACAATAGATACAAATCTGAGTGTGATTCAGCACTAATTATGTGAACTCTTTCTCTCCTCACAGAGTTGAACCGTCTCCTCACCTTTAACATCCGTCTCCTCCTTTGGATCTGGAGTTTGGACATTTGTGGGAAGCAGCAACATCTCTGTCGCCCAGGTCTTAACAGAGTTTGGATCTGAAAGAAATGAAGATGTGTAAAGATTTATAAAACAATATTAAAAAAAAACAACCATTCACAGGACAACTCTCACATGAGTTGTTGACAAAGTGATCCTTTCAGTTCTACAGATGTCTGTTTTTGACTTTTTGACTAAGAGTCGACATTCATGCTAGCAGCTCTGTGAGGCTGACTTGACCAAGCGTCATTGATGTAAACAGACACCTCTCATCTAGCCGGAGTCCTTCTCTCTGTCAGCTCAGAACAAGCTCCTCCTGGAGAGTGCCTGATCCAGGATGTGGATTGAGCAGGTCTCTGTAAAGATGTGGGCTCAGCTGTCTCTGATTTCCCGTTGCCTGGCAGCCCGAGTCCCATTTTGTCCACCGGACGTGGTGCCTGGTCCGGTTGATCTGGCTGGGTGGATCGTCCCAAGGTTCCCTGCTCTTTAGTCTAAACCCCAGCTTCCTTTTCCAATGACTTTATTTCTGTCAACACGTGTTTCAGCAAAAAAGCCAAAAAGAAAAAAACAGGTGAAAAAACTAAAATGTAGCAAACTTTGAAGGAGTTAACAGCCGCTGGTGTGAAAATCTCCCGATTCAGTCGATTTGAACAATTATGGCTGAGCCCTTTAAATGAAATCCAACAGACTTAATTCAATGATGTTTCAGCAATAAAGCTGAAAACCCTCCATATTAAAAAAAGTGTGGTGAAGTCTGAATGAGCTACTGCCAAACCTAGAAAAATGTACGCTGTAAAAATTAAATACTGTTTGTGAGAATAATCTGTAAGTGAACTATAAAATGTTTATTTCAGCAGCAGAGTTAATTAATCTAAAGAAACTTACCGACAACAATCCTAATAATCGTAGCCCTCCCCAGCTGTGGGATGAAACATCTGTAGCTTCCTTGGTCAGAGAGCTTCACGTTGAGGATCTTGAGTGAAGCGTTTCCGTGTTTCAGCTCGTCTTTGAACAGCGTCGTCCTCCCAGCGTATGACGACATCTTCATGTCCTCTACATCGTGGTTGTCACGGTAACGGTGAACATGCTTGTACGGACTCAGTGGATCTTCGGGGTCACGCGGGAGGTCGGGACGCCACCACTCCACCGTCAGGTCCTCCAGGTTGAGCAGAGGCTCCACACGACACGGCAGGATGATGTCATCACCCAGAGAGACCACGATTGGCCGAGATGAACCGATCAACTGAGGCTGACCTGAGAAATGGGGGGAAAATAGAAATCTCCTGAAAAGAGAGTGAAGTCTGGATTCTGATTTGCTTCCAAAACATTTCCAGTAACAGGAGCTGTTATTTACTTAATAAAGAAGATTATAGTCTAAGTATGAGATTTATAAATCTAGAGCTGTAATTAAAGGTCCAGTGTGTAATATTTCTGATGCTCTATTGACAGAAATGCAATATAAAGATCCATAACTATGTTTTCAGTGGTGTATAAAGACCTTACATAATGAACCATTATGTTTTTATTAGCTTAGAATGAGACTTTTTTATCTACATAACCGCGGGCACCCCCTGCTGTGGAGGTCGCTGTATTTTGTCATCATGTTTCTACCGTAGCCGTCAACGAACAAACAGCACCACAGAGCACGTTTCATCATCATGGCGTTCTTCTTCTGCTTGTGTAATTCCGGTAGTGTAGACGCCTGTCACTACATTGAATACATACAAAGAAGTAGAAGAGGGACTAATAATAATATTAATATACAGTCTCTGAATAGTCCTCTGGTTTATTAGGAGTAAGAAGAGAAGTGACATTCGGACAACTGAAGGAGCACACGTGTTATTTAGCATGAGAGCCGACAGCCAGACGGAGTCGGGACAGACAGCTGACGGCAGAAATCACGGATTTTGTGGATTTTCCAGATGGAAGATTATAACGTTAATGTGGGACAGATGTTTTCAAAGCAGAGCTGAAGTTGTCTGTTTTCTGTTGGACAGGTAAGGTGGACTTTGTTTGTCAGACTTTAGTGATGCAAATGAAAACGGTTGTTTGATAGCTTTAGCTAGAAGCTGGCCATGTTTCCCCTGTCAGTGGTGTGAAATATTGATTAATTTCATGGCGCCTACTTATTCTCCAGCCTGTTCTGGCTTTGCCAGTTACATTAGCGAGACAATCAGCTGACCAGTAACATTAATTGGCAATAAAACGGTAACATTATCTTAGAGCATGGAAGCATCAGCCAGCTAAACCTTTAGTGCCCTGGTAGAAAAACATTTGTTGTTTGTTGGATTGGTTTATTCTCCAGCACTGTGCTTTGGCTTGTGGTGTCATGTTAGTTGGATTAATTTCATGTAGTTACTCTCTCTCTCTCTCCAGCGCTCTGTTTTTGGCTTTGTATGTTACCTTTGTGAAAATCAGCTGATCACTAATTGGCAATAAAACGGCAGCTTACAGCATCGAAGCTCAGATCAGCAGCTAAACTTCACATTTTACTGCCCTGGTGGAAAACATGTAATTGTTTTTACTGCTAATGGTGAAATGTAACAAGACCGTGTGCTTATCAAGTGACCAATAATAAATACTTGCATTAACAAAACATGTGCACACAAATATGTAATTTTTACTTTCACATGCTAGATGCCCATTAAAAATGTTGCACCATTTTACCACAAGCTGAATTACGGCTGTCAGTACGACTTTGTGTTTCTGTTGTATTTCAAAAATTTCAAAAAGACATTTTGGTAATATTTGCAGATTGCTTATCTAATTTAGCAAAGTGAGAGGAGCCTTGATCCTCAACTGACTATGCCTTTGTAAACTTCATGTAGGCTATTATGTGGTTTATAACAGTGAGGTTTACATTGTCCTGTTATCTGTCAGTGGTCATACTTGATGCACTAGATGTGATAGTGTTTGAGAATTTACTTTGGTGTGTTAGTCCAGATAAGCCAACACTCCAGAGATGTAAAATAATGTATTACAGGAGTATGAGACATCATGTAGCACTTCATTTCTTCATGTGGCTGTTGTTTATTAATGAAAAAGTAACAATAATATTCTAACAAACATATGGTTTTACATAATTTATATAATTTCTTAATATATCTAAAAGAATCCTATTTTCTTGACTGGAAATCTCTTTTATCTCATAGATGACATCTTTGTCCTGTCTCAGGCACCTTAGCTTTACTGTTTGCTTGGGTAGTGGAGGGGGGCTGCAATTCAAAACCCTCACCACTAGATGTCAGTAGAACTTACACACTGAACCTTTAACAATTATTTACATCACTGATTAATCTTAGTTGTTTTCTTGATTAGCCTAATCTTTGAGTAAAAAAAATTGTGAAAATTGCAGTTTAATGAAGCTGAAAGTCTTTAAAATTCTTCAAATTGTTTTATATAACCAACAGCCCCAAACTTAAGTTGATTTGTGACAGTATTCTTATTTAATTACATTTTTATGAAGTTTTCAATCTTAATGATGCAAATATCTTACCAAAACTAAAGTTGAGTCCTGACTTGGTATCTTGCAGAACCGTATTTATGTTTCATGTTTTCATTTTAACTGTCATGCTTATCAGGAAGTTGGATGTGTCCCAAAAATCTGGAAAAACAACCCCAACATGCCACCTTTTGTAAAGTCACTCTATTTTAACTGCGATCAGCTGACAGAAGACTGAACCAGCTTTTTCAGTCTTCTGAAAAATGCTGACCAATCCTACCAAGCCCTGATCCTACAGATAACAACTAAACTTTCCGCTCATGTGACAGTAAAAGGAAAAGCCTATTGAATCATCATTAACTAGTCATCATCAAATTATTTATATGGACAAATATCTGGATAATTAAACAGAAAAAAATCGCACATAGCTCTGTGAATAATATGACAGACAACACGTTGGTAACAGGGTGAAAAAGAATTAACTAAGCCAGCATTCCCCTGAAGCCAACGTTAAAATTAAACATAGCATAGGCCTATCTGTTCATAGATGTAAAACACAAATGTGTTCTGCTTGTTTTCTGTAACAGGTTATAGATTATTCTACATGTTATTGCTAATTGTAATTAATCAATCAAACCTGTCCAATTTCTAGTCATTTTACAGCAGCAGCTGTTTGTTATGTTACGTTGATACACACATCACATCAATGTTTGAAAGTTACTGATTATAACAATTATTTTCAGGTAAAATTTCAGTTAAAGGACACTAAACTATTGGTAGACCACATGAGTAACCTTAACTTTATTGATCTTTATTTAACTGGTTATCGCTCAGGTGGAAATATTAATGAATGAATGAATGAATGAACTCACCTTCAACAGGCTTCGTCCAGACCACTATACTCAAAAATATAGTGAGAGTCCAGAGTGGACAAAAGGTAGCCCTAAAGACAAGCACGAAGTTCCCGAAGTGAACCATAAAAACACCTCAGACAATCATACAAAACTACCTCCTGATGTGAGCTCGGCTGGTGAACGAGTCCTGCTCAGTTCCTAGGTGACGTGATGGCGTAACATTGTTTATTTCAGTGGCATGTTGCTAGGGGGGGTTTCTAGCTTTTTAAAGTACCTTTCAGTTTGCTCATAAACAGAGGTGTGGCACTTCATGTTAGTTGAGAGCCACAAAGTCAAATCATAAATTAATATAGTCTAAGAGCGTGGTGAACTCAAATATCAGACATAATCATTAGTAAATTATATTTTATTTACAAAGCAAAACATGCTTCAAATAATGTAGCTAACTTTGCAGCAAGTCACACAGCACAATGACATCAACACACTTTAATTTACACCAACAGTTACTTTACACACACCAGAGGCCCCAGTCTTCATCTTATGAAGGCCATACAGGTTTTGCAACACTATGTTAAACTGGGCACAAGAGTGGTCCTTGATAAGTGCTATGGAAACCTGAAGGATGCCTATGTGAGCAGGGCTAAACTGTCTATCTCAAACCACAACACAGGTCACCTCATCCCCACTTACAGAACTTTTTCAAGACTTGTGTACTAAGAAGGCCTCAGGGCTGGAGGGAGTATCTGCATCACCTGCATGGTGCCCCATCTTTCAACAATCACACACCATCGCCACCTTGTGGAAGAAATCAGTATCTACACCTTTACCTAAAAAACCTTAGCCAAAGGTGAATAATAATTTCAGTCCTGTGGCTCCGACATCTATTGTCCTGAAATGTCTTGAGAGGATAATGGTGTCATTTCTTAAGCAAGATATTGGTGTGTTTTCAGATCCCTTTCAGTTTTCTTGTCAGCAGGTGGGTGGCAGAGATGACGCATTATGCAGGCACTTTGTTTATTGATTTTAGTTCATCTTTTAACACTCTGCAGCCTCACATGCTCATCCAGAAACTGAAGCGCATGAATATTAACTCTTTTTAGTCTCAACTAGAACTAAACATTTTTAACAAACCACACTCAGCAGGTTAGAGTAAACAATGCTCTCTCTGAGCCCAGGTCAGGACATGACTAGTGACTCCACTCTAACAACTGATACAGCAACACTCGACCTTATGCACAAGGAAAACAATCCAGCAGCTTATCATACAGAAACTTAGGAAGTTATTCCGTGGTGTGACGACAACTATCTTGTGCTGAATGTGACCAAGACTGAAGAGATGCTGTTTGACCCAGAGGCCGTCAGTGAACCCAGGCCTGTGGTCATCAACGACATACCCGTCACTCAGGTTTGCTCTTATAAGTGTCTTGGTGTACATAATGACAATGCACTCAGCTGGAAAGCTGATGTTGATGGGTCTCTGCTCCAGACTACAACAGAGGATGCAGTTTTTACATAGACTTAGTGTACGGAGTCAAACAATAATGTATGTAGTTGTTTTATCATGCAGTGCTGGAGAGTATTCTAAGTTATGGTATTACAGCTTCGTATGGTAACCTGACAGTACAGTCCAAATCACAGATCACATGTCAGGTACAAACACAAGTGAGTACAACCCACACATTTTTGTAAACATTTGTAACACTCAAGAAATGACACTTTACTACAATGTATAGTACTGAGAAAATTTATAGTTATACAAACTGTACACTCACTACTTTACATTGAAGTGTCATTTCTTCAGTGTTACAAATGTTTACAAAAAATGTGTGGGTTGTACTCACTTGTGAGACACTGTATCAAGACTAGCATATAATGTAGATGTTTTCCATAATTGTTGAACAATCTGTCAATGTCCAATACGCAGTTTGGCTGTGCGACATTTATTATTCTTTATTCATTGTGGTCAATGCAGGCTGAATGTGTTGCACCTTCAGATGCGGCCATTGTGAGAAGGCATGCATGTTGTGTGTGTGTGGTGTGTATATATATATATATTTATATTGAGATATGAGAGCATGTGTTGAGAGATTATTTCATTCTATTTTATATAGTTTTGCGAAGCTGCAGAACAGACCAATTCAAAACAACTTTCCCTTCGGGGACAATAAAGTATTTTATATGTATTAAATGAGATTTATTTGGCTACTATAGAATACTAATAGTACACAAATGCTGTAGAAATATTTTAAGTAACTTGAACAGAAACTCAGAGCTTCAAAGCATAACACAAGAAGTAAACCTTATACAATCTTGAACAATAAAATCGACACACTGTAGTCATTTGCAAATGTGATTTTGGCTCCTGTAGGATAATACTGCACAAAGTTCCACTTTACGTAACCTGAACGTACTGGACAAAATCAAAATGTTTCTAAAACATAATCTACTAACAAACATTGAATTTTTCTCAGATTTGTACTCAAGACACAAGGCAACACAAGAGGTAAGTCTTATAAACTAATTTAAAGTGCAACAGGTCGTTTAATGTTCAACATCAGGAAACAAGACCAACTTGTATTTCAGTGTTTCAAATAAAAAAAACAATACAACCATGAAAAAACATCATTAATAAAGGATGTGTGTGTGCGCTGTTTCTGGAATACATTGTATGGAAACATCTGACTAATGCTGAATAGCAATAACAAAAGAACAATGTAGGTATAAAAACATAACTCCAGTGAGAGTTTCTTTCCTTATAAAGTAAATTTAGCTCCGAAAGGTTTCAGACATCTGCAGCTTGAATTCTGTATATTAAAAAGGTTTTATTTGAGCTCACACATGCAGTCACACCATCACTGGGGAAGACTTGACCTCATTTTGAACATAAATAGCCATAAACAAATGAGACATGATCCTCTTCTGGATCACACTGTTTTAACACTTTTAGCTGTGTCACACCGAGCAGCCATAACATCATGACCACCTGCCTAATATTTATTGTGTGGGCACCCTTTTGCCTTTGGTTTTGTAGTAAGAGGTATGTTGTAACTAAATATTTACACCCAATGTCTACAAGAACTAGTTTGTGAGGTGCAAACCCTCAGGTCAGCCGATCAACTTCTGACCCACCACACTGTGTTTTCGTTTTAAAACTGAGATCTATTGCTACGTTTGCAACTCCCGTCCAGACAAAAGCAACGAAAACGAAGACCTTTGGAAAAGTTGCCGACTCTGTTTTTCGTTTTGAAACTCCGGAGGGCGTTTTAGTGAAGACGGGCAAAAACAGAGGACTTTATAAACGATGACGCAGACGCGCACGCTCGGCACTCTGATTGGGTCTCATACGTCATGTAAAGCAGACGCACGAAGCTACTGACAGAGTTTTTGATTTGGTATATTTATTGAAATATTCTGTACCGTGCAAATAACACTTATCTGCCTACACTTGTACTGTGCATGTCGCTGTTTACTTTGCGGCAACTCCAAGTCTGTTTTCCGCCGCCACAGTGTAACATTCAGTAACAGTCCCAGCTCCTTATTGCTCCATGTAAATAAATAAATAAAAAATAATACTATCTGGTCTGATTCTTCATCTGTATTTCTTTATTCTTGCAGCTCCTACACTGTGGAATGATCCACCTCTGCCCATCAGACAGACATCTTCACTCTCTGTTTTTAAAACCCACCTCTTTTCCCTGGCCTTTGAAACCTGAAGTTGACATTTTTAGAATTTTACCCCCCTCCCTCGATTGTATTGATTTTATTGTTTTATTGTATGGTTGTTGGTGTTTTTACTTGTATATTCTGCGTTATGTGAGCTATGTATTTAGTCTCTTATTTACATTTCTGTACAGCACTTTGTCTCCTATTTGGATGTTTAAAGTGCTCTGTGAATACATTCTTATTGATTTCTAACGTCCAGCAGGGGGCAACGCCACTGGTTGCAAAAAAAGGCAGATTGTACAGAAATCAATAGTAAAATGAGCCTATTTGTCACCTGATTGATTACCTCAGTAAAGACTTTACTAATGAGTCCCTAGTTTCAAGTCATCTTCAAAACAGCATGATGTTCATTTTCCTTCTGATGGTAATCTGTGTCCATCATGAAGAGCTCCCTCCTGCTGATCCAGTGGATCCACTTGTGGCTGGAGGTGATGCTGGTCTGAATCCCTGATCTGATGAGGAAGATCCAAGAGGGGGAGAAGTGCAGAACGTTAACATCAAATACCAACAAGCTCTTTAGGAAGACACCTTGGCTGGAAGTGGCTCGTCTGGGGTCCAGAAAAGTCTGGTCTGATTTACAGGATCAGTTCTGACTCACATTTAGTTTTTTAAGCTTGTGTTTAAGAAAATGTCCACTGACTCCACCACTGAGGACAAGTAAGATGCAGAAAACAACCAGGGTCCAAATGCCCAGACGGGATCGACCACCTGATGTGAAAAAAAGAGAGAGATAGAGAGAAGTTACAGTAACTGAAATACAACAAATACAAAAATCTGAGTTTGATTCAGCACTAATAATGTTAATTCTTTCTCTCCTCCTCACAGAGTTGAACCGTCTCCTCACCTTTAACATGAGTCTCCTCCTTTGGATCAGGAGTTTGGACATTTGTGGGAAGCAGCGGCGTCTCTGTCGTCGAGGATTTTACAAAGTTTGGATCTGAAAAAACAGATTTAAAAGATTAACACCACAATATTAAAAAGAAACAACCATTATAGGAGAATGGTCACATAAGCTGTTGACAAAATGATCCTTTAACTTCTACAGATGTCTGTTTTTTCCTGTGTGCAGAAATCGTCTATGTTCACTACATTTTGACAGTAAAGTTCTGCCTTGTGTTGCAATCTGGACCATCAGCATCTAAACAAACTCACCAACAATAAGTAGAATAATCGACTCCTTCACTTGGCTGTTTAACTTGGGGATGAAACATTTGTATCTCCCTCCATCAGCCGGCGTCACGTTGGTGATCTTCAGAGAAATGTTTCCACGTTTCAGTTTGTCTGTGAACAGCATCGTCCTGCCGAAGTACGACTGGAGCTTCATGTCCAGGTTTTCACGTCCGTCCCTGTAAACGTGCACGTAGTCGACCCGGCTCAGACGATCAGAGGGGTCGGGCTTGAGATCTGGCTTCGACCACTCCACCGTCAGATCCTCCACATTGTAAGCAGGATCCAGGTGGCACGGCAGGATGACGTCATCACCCGGAGCAGCGATGATTGGCTGAAGTGACCCGATCACACGAGGCTGACCTGGAAAAAGGAGGAAAATTTAAACCTTGAACTCTGATCTGCTGTGTGTTCATTTTATTATGATTAACCAAAGTGTTTCGGTAAATTTCTACCAAATTTCCCGCTAATAATAACTGCAACTAATTTCCATCACTAATCAGCTGGTTATTTTCTTGATTAATCACTGAGTCTTGAAAATAGTGAAAATGGAAACTACAGTTTCCTGAAGGCCAAAGTATTTCAAACTTTTTAAAAGCTTTTTTAAATGACAGATAATATTTTCAGTTTATTGTCAAGTAAGACAAGGGGAAATATTTATGCATGATTATATCACCAAAAATAAAAAGGAACAAGGGGTCACAAGCTGAATAAACATGTGTGACAGATATCACCTGGACTGCTTGTGGTTAATTTGTTCTGTCACAAGACACATGCCTTTGGTGTGAGAGACTCGGGTTCAACTCGGGTTCAACTCCCCCCTGTGACACTTAACCCCTAGTTGCTCCAGAGGCGTGCGACCTCTGACATGTATAGCAACTGTAAGTCACTTTGGATAAAAGCGTCAGCTAAAAGAATAAATGTAAATCAACTCTGCACAGCAGATTGAATAGTGATTAAATGATGATGTTAGTCTTGTGATATTACAGTGTTTTTCTGGAGATGTCAGGGAACACAGATATGTGGGACTGATTCTGAAAGAAAGTTTAAGTCCAGGAAAAGGTGCCCTGTACACATTTAAAGAGGTTAATTTAAACCAAATAAAAAGACACAAAAGAGGAGGGAAGACTAAATGAAAGAAATACAGAATGTTTGAAAGCCTTCTTTAGGTCTACTGCATTATATTCTGTGATATACATCATGTCCTGGATATAATGATGATTTTATCCTGTTTTTCAGGATCTGTTCTCTGTGCCAGGGGCCTCATGTTTCCTGATTTCAGTTTGTTAAGGGTTATCAGGAGGTTACATGTGTCCCAAAAATCACTGAGCCTTTTGTATTTAACTATAGGAAAAGCATGATTTCCTCTGAGTCAGTTATTGAATAATCACTGAGTCATTGTCAGTAACATAAACCACTGAGTCAGTCCTAAGTATATCTGCTCTCCTAAATCACACATAGCTCTGAGAATAATAGGGACAGACAACACGTGGTTAACAGGGTTTCTATGGAAGAACTTATGAATTAACAGCTGGCGTATGAATTACAACCCGATTTATCCATCCATCCATCGGCAACCGCTTATCCTGCATTCAGGGCCGCGGGGAACCCGATTTATATCACTTATATTTATATGCAAGTCCCTCTTTCCAATCAACCTGAAGCGACGACCTGAATCCAGATTGAAAAGTATTAGTAATATTTCTGTACATGTGAGTAAAACGAAGATGTCTGTTTGTTTTCTTTAACATTACACAGATTATTGTTTGACTTATTTTGCTCTATAAAAAAAATCAATCAATTAAATAAGCCTATTCCTTCCCGATTTCTAGTCGTTTTAAGTAGCCTAACCACAGCAGCAGCTGTTTGTTATGTTAAGTTACTTATAGTTTTACGGCTTTAACAGCAATGAGTGGCTCAACTTAATTGATATTAGGCCTACCGCTGATAATATCCTCCACACATGGGCCTACATCCATGTTATAACTTCCAGTAAATCCTTAAAGTTACTGAACCGAACAATTATTTTCAGTTTATAGACACTAAAAACCATCAGTAGGCCTAGAACAATGGACAAAGTCGCGACTTAATTAACTTCATTTCATTTATCTTATTAACGCACCGGTGGAAATGTGAATGAATGAATGCAGTTAACAGTCAATAGCAGCGTGATGAACTTACCTTTTAAGGGTGTCCAGACAGCCGTACTTAAACATATAGTCAGAGTCCAGAGCGGCAAAAAGGTAAAGTCAAGCATGGAGTTCCCGAAGAGAAACATAGGAACAGCTAAGAGTCAGACAAACACACGACTGCCTCCTCACGTGAGCGCGACTGGCGAACGTGTCCTGCTCAGCTTCTTTAATTTACGTAGCACTCGTAAAGTCACGTGGCGGAGGGGGGTAGGCCCCAGTAGCTTCTTTCTGACGAGTTCGCATGACTCATCAGTATGTGATGTTTGGTAACGCTATTATGACTAATGTATTTACATATATAATCTCCTCTCCCTGTCTCTTTACATAATACTTTCTCGGGATTGCCACTCTTTTCTAGACTTTTCCAGTGATGATCTTGCTTGTAGGAGAGACAGGGATCAAACTGTGCCTCTCTGCCGAAGTCTGAAGTCCTCTGGAGCCACTAGGGGTTAAGTGTCTTGCTCAGGGACACAATGGTGGATGTCTCACAGTGGGGAATCGAACCCAGGTCTCCCACACCAAACCAAATTAGTGCCTTTATAACAAATGTGAGGTACTACGGCTAAAAAGTTTCCCATCACGGTCCATTTTTATCATAATGCATGTTTGAAGAGGCAGTCCATCCATCCATCCATCTTCATCTTCTTATCCGGGATCGGGTCGCGGGGTTGAAGATAATGCTATTAACAAAGGGGGGAAAGTGATGTTAGCCAGTATTTGATGTACATTCAGTTGGGCTCGCATTCACTGTCCTGACTCTGGCTTTATTCATTCTTATCCCACTTTCTCAACAATACTCAACACGTTTGAAACAACTGCTCTGGCTGAAACACAAACCTTGAACCTTCCAGGCAAATCAAGCGCGCAAGCGCATCAACATCAACATCTGAACAAACATTTTAACCAACTTAACATTATTCTACTGTTTAAAACAAGCTGCAGCATCACAAGTTGAAGACGTTAATCCTTAAACCCAATAAAAAGTTACCAACCAGCATATTTACCTTTGGAGGATCCTTCCAATAGAGTTTCTGTCATTTTAATTAATGTCATCCAACCTGTGCAACATAACCAAGCAACCACAACAATGTTAAAATTATTTTCCAGACCGACACAAAATTTTCCAGGACACTTGAATTTTTCTGTCATTTTCCATGTGTTTTCCATGACTGGAAATTTGGTCAACTGTTTCCCAGAATTTGTCTTTTACAGACCTTTTCATAGGCTGCTCTTTATTATTATTATTATTAGTAGTAGTAGTAGTATTTTGTGGTTTTTCAGAGCAAACCACAAAGACTTAAATCATAAATTCAAATCGACCTAGCTAGAGTGTGGTAAACTTAAATCTTAGATGTAATCGTTGTAAAAAATAAATAAATAAATAGAAGGACTTTATTTACAAAGCAAAACGCCGTGTAATTAGGCGATTGTAGCAACTTAAAGCCATCATATTCCCTCACATTTTCCGTTTCATTATTTACACAATTTGACATACAGGAGCTGTAGGAGTCCACACTGAACTTCATCTTTATGCAGTATTAATGTTTAATCCCAGAAAACAAGACCAACATTTCTTTCAATGTTCAAAGCTAAAGAAAGGAAACACCTCCTCCATCTCTACAGCTTCGACATTCTGTTCATTACTTGTTTAAGGACACTTTTTAACACTAGAGGGAGCCGCACAACAGGACAAAGTTTACATTTCCAAAGTTGCGACTTGAAGAGAGTGAATGGAGAGAAGCAAATAAATGTATATACATTTAGGATGATCTTAGAGAGGCAGGTTTACATAAAGGACTTGCTATTTTAACCTCTTGAGATACGCCAAATGTATCACGTGTTACTGAGAACCATGCTCAGAATATAAAATATAAGGTTCAGGAAGTATTTCACTCTAACAATAATAAACCACAATAAACAAACAATCTGCTAAACTGAAATAGAATCAACGATAAAGCAAAAATTCAGTTTAAAGAAAGCAAGTGAACATAATTCATATTTGTGGTGAATTATAGTCTGAGGTAAACTAATGCAAAGTTTAGGGGCATTCGGTCTCCCTTCATATTCAGCTGAGCTCTGAGAGCCTCCAGGAGAAACTGAGGGGCTGACCTGACTTTCTATATAAAACAATTCAGCATTCACCTTAATGCAGAGACAGCAGAAAGAATTAAGCCAACACACTGTAGTCACTTGGAAATGTGATTTATTTGGCTACTAAAATAATAATAGTGCACCAAAATTGTAAAAAATATTTTAATTAACTTGAACGTACTGTATAAAATCATAATGTCTATAAAACAGAATGAACAAACATTGAATTCCACTGTTTTGAGACTCACAGCTTAAAAGCACAACACAAGAGGTAGATCATACAAACTAATTTAAAGTGCAAGAGGTCGTTCACATTTAATGTTTCTACTGTTTCAGTTTATTTCCTTATAAAAGTTAATAAAGCTCTGAAGGTGATAGACAGCTGTAGCTTTAATTCTGCATTAAAAAATAAATAAATCTGAGATACTTCTTCTGAATCACACTGTATAAACATAATTTATTGTGTTGCTATAACATTATGAACACATGCCTAATATTGTGCAAGTCCCCATTCTGATGTCAAAACAGCACTGAACCATCGAGGCATGGACATTGCTCGAAGCATCACGCTGCCTCCGCCCGCTTGTCTTCTTCCATTAATGATATTAGCACAAGGAGGTATGTCGTTAATAAATATTTACACTCGCAACTGATCTCTACAAAAGAACTAGTTTATGAGATACAACCCAGTAAAACTCCACTTGGTAAAAACTGATGTTACAATGAGGCTCAATTTGAACTTAGAATCAAGAACCAGCTCCTGATCATCATGTTTGTGGTTTATGCCACTTACTGATATGAAGTCTATTACAGTCAAGTAACATTTGGAAAACAATCATGTATATCAGCTCCAAACAAAACAGGGTTTTCACAGTTATCCTCCCGGGGGCAGAAGAGTCTGACGATGAAGAAAGGCTTGGCACTAAAAACATTTTTTACATTTACAATTGCTATATATGTCAGAGGTCGCACGCCTCTGGAGCAGCTAGGAGTGAAGTGTCTTGCTCAGGGACACACTGGTGAATGTGTTGCAGTGAGAATTTAACCTGGATCTCCCACATCAAAGCTTGTGTTTTAACCACTGCGCCATCACCACCTTTTCTGTCGTCTTTTTCGTCCATCATGTGTCTCTTTAAGGTAAAATAGCTGTCATGTCTGGTTGCTACTGAAAGACTTGAAAATGACTGAGGAGGAGTCAAATTTGAGCAAACTATAAAAAAATAAATATAAAGTCTGAAAGCGATCCTGCCGCTAATGATGTGATGAGAGGAAGAGGGAACTTCCGTGTCTGAAAAGGGATTGCAAAACTGGTTGCAAAAACAGTTAGATTGTATTGAAGTCAGTGAGAAAGTGAGCCTACTTCTCTAATGATTTATTCCCTCAGTAAACACTTTACTAATCAGTTCATTGTCTCTGTCGATGGTTTAAAAAGTCTCCTTCAACATTGTTAATGTTCCTTTTGATGGTAATCTGTGTCCATCATGAAGAGCTCCCTCCTGCTGATCCAGTGGATCCACTTCTGGCTGGAGGTGATGCTGGTCTGAATCCCTGAACTGATGAGGAAGATCCAAGAGAGGGAGATGTGCAGAACACTCTCATCTCCGTTAACATCAAATACTAACGAGCTCTTTAGGAAGACACTTTGGCTGGAAGTGGCTCATCTGGAGTGACATCATACTGGGACAAGTTGTTTGCTTTCCTTCTCCATCACATTTACTTTGTGAAACTTCTGTTTAAACACACATCCAGCACCAACTCCAACACCCAGGACAAGTAAGATGCAGAAAGCCACAGCTGGGATCCAAAATCCCAGATGGGATCGACCACCTGATGTGAAAAAAGTCAAACAGAGAAAAAAGTTACAGTAACTGAAATACAATAGATCCACAAATCTGAGTGTGATTCAGCACTAATAATGTTAATTCTTTTTCTCCTCACAGAGTTGAATCTTCTCCTCACCTTTAACATCCGTCTCCTCCTTTGGATCAGGAGTTTGGACATTTGTGGGAAGCAGCGGCGTCTCTGTTGTCGAGGATTTAACAAAGTGTGGATCTGAAAAAACACAAGATTTGAAAAATTGTTATTATTGTTAATATTAAAATGAAACATTTACACACAAGAGTCACATAAGCTGTTGACCAAATGATCCTTTAACTTCTACAGATGTCTGTTTTTTCCTGTGTGCAGAAATCGTCTATGTTCACTACATTTTGACAGTAAAGTTCTGCCTTGTGTTGCAATCTGGACCATCAGCATCTAAACAAACTCACCAACAATAAGTAGAACAATCGACTCCTTCACTTGGCTGTTTAACTTGGGGATGAAACATTTGTATCTCCCTCCATCAGCCTGTGTTACGTTGGTGATCTTCAGAGAAATGTTTCCACGTTTCAGTTTGTCTGTGAACAGCATCGTCCTGCCGAAGTACGACTGGAGCTTCATGTCCAGGTTTTCACGTCCGTCCCTGTAAACGTGCACGTAGTCGACCCGGCTCAGACGATCAGAGGGGTCGGGCTTGAGATCTGGCTTCGACCACTCCACCGTCAGATCCTCCACATTGTAAGCAGGATCCAGGTGGCACGGCAGGATGACGTCATCACCCGGAGCAGCGATGATTGGCTGAAGTGACCCGATCACACGAGGCTGACCTGGAAAAAGGAGGAAAATTTAAACCTTGGACTGACACGATTTTTGACTCTTTATTGACTGTATCAGATTGTACATGATTCTTCTTCTTATTGTTATTGATTGTATTACGAAAGTTAAGTGACTCTACTTTTATTGTATTTTTGTCCTTTACATTTCTCTGTGCTGCTGTGCCAACAAGAAATGTCCCCTATAAGGGAAATTAATAAAAGGTATATCTTATAAGCGCTGTTAATAAGGAAGATTGAATCAAATCTCACATTATCAACCAAAGTTGAGTCCTGACTTGGTATCAAGGAAAACACCTGATGAGTGAGTCAGTTAGTGAATCATCACCAATTAGTCATCATCCTACAAACAGCTGAATGATGTCAGACAAATCTACGTAAATATCTTAAGAATTAAACTAAACTAAATCTCACAAAGCTCTGAGAATAACAGAGACTACATGTGTGTAACAGGATGAAAAGGTTATGAATTAACTAAGTCCCTTTTTCCCACCACTTGAATCCAAATTCATAATTATTAGTAACAGATCTGTACATGTGAGTGAAACTCAGATATCTGTTCTTTTCTGTTACAGGTTATTAATTATACTACATGTGATGCTCTATAAAAACAATCAAACCTGTCCGATTTCTCCTCGTTTTAAGTAGGCTTACCAAACTAAGTTACAGCAGTAGCTGTTTGTTATGTTACGTGTCCTTTAACGGCTTAAACTATCAACAGCAAATCAACCTAATTGATCTACACATCGCATGAGTGTTATAATGTTAGTTTTAAAGTTACAGAGAAGCCATAGCGTTACGGAAGAATAGGCTAAACTATCAGGAGAACAATGGACACAGTCGATCCTTAAGTTATTTTTCTTCATTCAAGTCAGCTTTATTGGCATGAATGTATAGTCTAACAACAATATTATCATATTATTAACTGATTATCGCTCGACATTTGACTGAATGAATGAATGAAAGAAACTGTTAGCTCTAGTAACGAAACATATGAACTTACCTCCAACAGGCTTCGCCCACACTGCCGTACTCAAACATACAGCGAAAGTCCAGAGTGGAAAACAGGTAAAGCCAACCATGAACTTTCCAAAGTGAACCATAAAACCCCTGACAGTCACACAAATAGGTACCTCCTGAAGTGAGCTCGGCTGGCGCTGAACTACTGAAGGAGTCACTGTCACTGTACTCCTTATAGCGTGTGATGACGTGTGTTTGTAGCCTATGTTTTGTTTCTATGGTGAGTGGGCGGAGTTTGACTGCGTTGCTAGACACAGTGTGGTAAACATTAAGTCTCTTTTTTATCCTTCAATATAACTCCAAATCTAATATCACAAAACTCTAACCTTGGTGCCTGAGAGTCCTTTTCAGATATCCATTTATGAACCGAAACCCAAAAGGATTTTAGATAATTACAAGCAAAAAAACAATTGCTCTAAAGTTTCCACATCCACATTACAGAAAGTACAATTAGCCTATTCTTATCAATAAATCTGTGTTTCAGAAAAACATTACAAGGACAGGCCTAAATATCATTTAATATTTTAAAATGAGTTTCTTTAGCTTTTGGTGAGGTTAAGGGAACTTGTGCCGCGTTCGAGACCGGTCGGAACTGGGTTTCCGAGTTGCATTGAACGCAACATTCCCTCCATTCAGCAACGGCATTAAAGCACACGTCAGTTCCGCAGTGTGTTACCCTGGTAACATAAACACCTCGGATACCCGCTGCTGCTGTGGACATTCACTGATATTAAATATTGAAGCCTAAACATTAAAACAAACAGATACAATTAAAACCTACATTTCTATAGTACAAAGACTTACTGAGAAGTTAGCCTGTTGTGAAAACAAAGAATTATCTGCAGACTGAATAGTTTTGACGCACTGTAGTGGTGTAATTTACTGCGACCTACTTTGTTTTTAAATGTTTTCAATTTAGCGAAGAGTAAAACTCCACTGAGTAAACACTGACGGCTCCTGATCACCATGTTTGTGGTTTAAGTCACCTACTGATATGTAGTCTATTAAGTAGGCCTACAGTTAAGTAACATTTTGAAAATAAGTTAATTTGTGAATCGTATATATCAGTCTCAAACAAAACAGGGTTCTCACAGTTATCCTCCTTCAGGGCAGGAGAGCCCAATGATGAAGAAAGGCTTGGCACTTCAGACTATTTTTTACATTTTTACTCATTTAGCTGACACTTTTATTCAAAGTGATTTACAATGAGTCTCCCACAAAACAGGCATGCGTCTTATCCACTGCTCCATCACCACCACTTCTGTCGTCTTTGTTGTCCATCATGTGTTGCTTTGAGGTGAAATAGCTGTCATCTCTGGCTGCCAGAGAGGCTGCAAGAGCTGAAGATGAAGTTTGAGCAAACTATAAAAAATAAATATAAAGTCTCTCTCTTAAAAAACTAAATCTCAAAAGTTAGATTGTATTGAAGTCAGTGAGAAAGTGAGCCTACTTCTCAACTGATATATTCCCTCAGTAAACACTTTACTATTCAGTTCATTGTCTCTGTCGCTAGTTTAAAGTCTCCTTCAACATCGTTAATGTTCCTTCTGATGGTAATCTGTGTCCATCATGAAGAGCTCCCTCCTGCTGATCCAGTGGATCCACTTCTGGCTGGAGGTGATGCTGGTCTGAATCCCTGATCTGATGAGGAAGATCAAAGAGGGGGAGAAGTGCAGAACGTTAACATCAAATACCATCTTTAGGAAAACACATGACGTCATACTTTGGTGGCTGAAGGACAAGTTTAATAATCAGTCAGTCGTCTCCCAGAAAAGTCTGGTTTGATTTTCACAACGTGATCAGTTTCCTTCTGACTCACATTTAGTTTTTGAGGCTTGTGTTTCACATATCCAGCGACGCCACCACAGACCCAGGACAAGTAAGACACCGAAAACCACAGCTGGGATCCAAACGCCCTGATGGGATCGACCACCTGATGTGAAAAAAGACAGATACAGAAGTTACAGTAACTGAAATACAACAGATCCACAAATCTGAGTGTGATTCAGCACTAATATGTGAACTCTTTCTCTCCTCACAGAGTTGAACCTCTCCTCACCTTTAACATCCGTCTCCACCTTTGGATCTGGAGTTTGGAGATTTCTGGGAAGCAGC